CACTATAAGACCAGTCCTGACAAAGTTTTTAAAATATGTTCTCTCTTCTTTTTCATTTCTTTGTTTTGTTTGTTTTTGTTTATTTGTTTTTTGGTGTTTTGTTTTTGTTTGGAGAGGTTTTTGCTATAGGGTACGTGTGCTCACCAGAAAGACAGAGAGAGACAGTGAGACAGAAAGTGAGAAATCACCCCCCAGGGGGGGATGGCCAAGCCGCAACCCGTTCTCCTCCATTCTCCTCTTGGGATCTTGGGCACGCACACACACATGCCCGGTGTGAGTTTAAGCCACTGGGTCCAGGACTTGAATCGCAGTTGACTACATGGGAGTTCAGCGACATAGCCATTACGCTAACTGCTGGTCCCTATTCTTTTTAATTTTAACTAGTCTTTTAGAAAATGGTGCTAGAAGAACTAATTGTTATTCTATTAAATTTAGAAAAAGTAGATATTTAGTGGGTTTCTTTTAACTTAATCCTTAATTATTTTATCTTTACCCATAAGAATCCAGTTGATAGTATCCGATAGACTGTCTATCCTGACAGTTAAAATTATACTGAAATTGACATTAAACATATCTCAAATTCTTTTCCTTAAGAAGAGGGATCCTTGTCTGATTCTTTTTGGTATCCACAGGACGTTACAACACAATATCTGCAAAATATAAAGTAGATAATGAATGTTGAACGTGATTTTCAGTTGCTCTTTCATTGCGCATTTGTACAAAATTCAATGACATCAAAACCAAGGTTTTTTCCTATCCTATTAGAATAGCTAGTTTCAGTTTTCCAGTCAGTCTTTGACGAGCAGATAACACGGAAGTCCCAAATACTGTTTATGACCCACGTGCTGATATTAAGTGAGCAAACACAATTTGCCATTCCTAGGTACTTCTGTTATATAGTGAGACACGATGCCTCTGTTTTAGTAAGAAGCCCTGAAAGTGTCACCTTGATTTTGACTATTTTATTTTTGCTGAGAAATAAACCTTTTCAGCTATGCAAGATTACTAGAAATGAGACTATCAAACAGTAACTGGAGCCCCTCAGTAGTGGAAGTGTAATTATCATGTTAGCCTCGTAAATCATTCGCGTTTCAGTACTCTATTAGGTCACAGGAGCAGCAGCTGCGGCTTTGTTCTACCTAGATGATGTTTCAGTAAAGCCATTTCTGTTTTCATCCACTCGAATTTACAGTTTCTCTTTTGTGTTGACATTAACCAGTGACTCTATTAGTTTCCATTACCAGGAGAATAACTAAAACTATAAATAGTTCTGCATTTCTCCCACAAATCCTTGCAAGCTGCATAGATGCCTTTAATTTGATAGACATCTGGGTAATACATCTTGTTTCTCCTCTGTCTTTAGACAAAATACATATTTTCTTAAACCTATCCTTTTCATTTAAAAGAGAAAAAAACGATCAACTATAGCATCTCTATCTCATCTGCTGACCCAAGATACATAGTAGATAAATTGGGCACATAATCAATAGAATTCCAGATAAGATGTCAAAGTCAAGTCAGATTTACTGTACTCACGTAAGAAAGTATGTGCAGAATTATGTTTCATTGACTTGCTGCTTCTGCCAAAAACTAATATATCATAAATACCACAGATAAAATTTCTAAAACATCTGTCTTAATGCTATAAAAAGGTTAGGTCTCCTCTTCCAGAGGCAAACCAAACTGCATAACACCGACTTAGAACATACTTCTAGCCTAGCATAAGAGCACATTTAGCAAGTTTTAAAGGCGGTCTGCAGGAATGTAATTATCTTGGACAACTGTTGTTCTGACATTGGAATTACCAGCTTATTATGTTACCACTCTCTAAGTGTAACAGACTGTGCAGTAATTGCTGTAGCCCTCCTGGAGTTCTCAGAGGCAGGCACCTTAATTTCAGCTTTGGTTGCAGCTCTTCGAGCCTTTGCTCACCTCATCTGTTTCTGTTTCTGCTTTGGTTCACATGTAGGAGTCCTCTGATGGGCTCATTTTTTGAAAGAAAATCACTTATTTGTGCTGCCGTTTCTTTGCAGGTCTTAAGTGTACTAAAATGTGAGTTGAATGGACACATAAAGTATTTTCTCCCAGATTTCTGTGTGAACCTAAAATCTATTTCACATACTGGGAAACTTCTTAGTGAGGTGCCAACCTAAGTAATTGGTCACTGAATTGGCTGAACTACTGCTGGCTGTTATTTTGGTTTTATAAACAATCACTTAGAGATCTCCTTTATACAGGCTGATCTGTAGGAACCCAGCCTTCTCTTGCTTGAAAGCCTTTAAAGGGTTTTATTTTATTTTATTTATTTATTTTTTTATTGCTAGAGGATGTGTATTTGTAAGGGAAAGGGAAGAGGAAGCACTGCCCAGAAGTGGTGTGGTGACCCCATAATCTATCTTTCTTTCTTCCCCCTCCCCCTATTTCTCCGTCCAGATTTGGGGCACGAATACATAAGTGCCTAAAATGTTTTTCACCAGGGCCAGGGATTTGAACCATACAGATCTATGATCAGCCATATGGAATCCAGCTCTCATAGTTACTGAGGAACAGAGTCAGTCCAGGGTTTTTAAAAATTAGTGTATATTTTTAAAATGTCACTACAAATCCAAGATCAGTCACACTTGATAAAAGGTTTTCTTAAACTTAGACTTGGTCTTGCTATGTCATGATTCTCCTACCTCAGCCTCTTTTAGAGGTTTTTGCTATAGGTCACGTGCGCTCACCAGACAGACAGAGAGACAGAAAGCGAGAAATCACCCCCGAGGGGGTATGGCCATGCGCCAATCCCTTCTCTTCCATTCTCCTCTCGGGATCTTGGGCATACACACACACACACACGCCCGGCGTGAGTTTAAGCCACCGGGTCCGGGACACGAACTGCAGTCGACTACATGGGAGTCCAGTGACATAGTCATTACGCTAACTGCTGGTCCCTACCTCAACCTCTTGAGTAGCTAGACAGACAGGCCCTTTGAGGGTGGGCTAGACAATGAACTCAAGCCTTTCATGTCTTACTGAGCAGTAGTGTCCACCAGTATGTACGACAGTACAGTATGCAGCTGGGCCTAAAAGTAATTTCTTATAATTTAATACTTACTCCCTACTAGATTCCCTAGTTTTGACAAGTAAGTCCTCTACAGCAGGTTTATCCAAGTTAGGATCCAGTAGAGGATCATTTCTGCTAAGAGTTATGTGCTTAGGGTTTCTTTTTTTTCCACATCTTTAAGCATCTCCCTTTATTGTGTCATTGACTTGTTGAAAAGGCCCAGCCTATTTATAAACGAGACCATTAATTTAACTTTATTTAAAAATTTAGCCTTGATTTAAACTTATTTAAAAAGGTAAGACTGTATCTTCACATTTATTTGTAGCATTTCCTGCCATAGCCAAAATTATTTTTACTCCTATCAATATTAAACACTTAATATTAATTTATATAATTAAACACTTAATATCTAAATTTTCCAACTTCTTTTAGAGTCTTTTATATCTAGAACTTTAATCCAGGATCCAGCAAGTCCAGAATCACATGCTGTAAATAATTGTTTTGTTTTCTCTTCTCAGTGTCTTTTTTCTCTTTCTTTTTTTCTTTTTCTTTTCTTTTTTTGTTTTTAAGGTTTTTGCCATAGAGTGCATGTGTTTGCTAGAGAGAGACAGAGTGATGGAAAGTGAGAAATTAGCCCCCTGAAGGGATGGCCATGCCACAATCCATTCTTCTTCTGGCATTTTTAGGCACACATACACACGCGCCCAATGTGATTTTCAAGCCACCAGGTCAGGAACTCCAACCATGGTCAGCCATGTGGGAATCCAGTGTCCTAACCACCATGCCACCTGCTGGCCCCCTCTCAGTGTCTTTCAGTCTGGAACATTATCTGGTATCCATGTTGGTAACTTGCTGGCAAGACAAGGCTAGTGTTTTGGAGAGTGACTCATCTTTTGGATTCGGTTCCTCTATCCCTCCAACGCTACACTTGTCCAACAGAGCAGCACTAGCCACGTGTGACTATTGAGATGTCAGAATGTAGTTAGTCTGGATTGAGATGCTGCGAGTATAAATTACAGATTGGATTACTCAGACTTACAATAAAAAATAAAAGTAAATTCTTTTTTATAAGAGAGAGATTTTGCTGTAGGGCATGTGCGCAAACCGGAAAGATAGAGATAGAGAGAAAGCATGAAGTCACTTCCTGGGGGGATGGCCACACCACAGTCTCTTCTCCTCCATTCTCCTCTCAGGATCTTGGACACGGATGCACATGTGCCTGGCATGAATTTTAAGACACTGGGTCTGGGACTTGAACCACGGTCAACTATGTGGGAGTCCAGTGATGTAACCGTTACGCCATTTGCTGGTCCCACAAAAATAAAATATTTTGCTAATGATTTGTAAAATTGATAACATGTCCCAATAGTAACTTGGGTATTATAGACTAAGTAAATTATTTCAATTAAAATTTTTAAATGTACCTACTATGTAATCCTGGCTTCTTTCTATTAGATATTATTATCTGAATGTTGGTCCGTTGGAAAAGTCATGACATGTTCTTCCATGCTTTTTCTATGCAAAAATTTGTCATGATTTTCCTGACAACCTAGATTGTACAACAGACAGTTGCTACCCAAAAACGATCCCATATCAGCTTTCCGGTTATGTACTAGGAAAAGATAAATTAGAAGCCTACTGTGCTTCTTAGCTAGACTTTTATGATATTTAGTTGCTGTGTGCAAGCTAAATGATTTTCCATGGGAGACCCAGTCTAGATAATTTTAGGGTCTAACATCCTCCAGGCACGGTATGATTCAACAGAAGAAACAGCTGCTGCTGATTTTGGGCGGCCCTGATAGCTGGAAGTGCTAAATAGTGGGAACCTGCAAGTGTGTCACAAGTGCTAAATATAGTTGTTAATCCACTGCTGCTGATTTAAAGGCAAAGAAGTACTTAAGCCAATGAAAGCTCATGGTTTATTTATTTATGCATTTACTCATTCATTTTTCAGTGTTGGAGAACCTTGAACAAAGAGTTATCTCCAATTTTGGATCACTGGAAAGTCAGCAAGATTTTCAAGTCCCAGAGTTTGTGAGTACCACTGCTTTATCTTACATTTGTTTTAGTTAGCTAGAGAGTCTTCACAAAATGAGGGGAAAGTTGTTGTTGTTGTTGTTTATTTATTTTTTTTATGATTTCTCCCTTCAGTGACTAAATCTGGCACAGTTCCCACGGCAGTGACTGTGTTTAAAGCTTTGGTGTCTCTAGGGAATAGAACTTCAGTGTCTCGACATCATTCTCTATAGGCTTCTTCTTCAAACTGCTCCTGCAATTGTAAATGGGAACTCATTCTGCAGTAAAATAGTAATGTTTCCCAAACTTCCACTTTATTCATTGATACCATTGCTATCGTTTCTGCTGCTAGTAACATTGGAAACCAGTATTTACTGAGCCCGTCTGGGTACACTGACTAGTGCCAGTCACTGCCAGTGGACCCAGCCAGATTTCCATTTCATCCTGGGACCTTGTAATACAATCTACATAGATACATTTTGAGGGCTAGGAATATTTTATTGGTTGTTCCTACTATGAGGGGAACCTAAATGCACCCACTAAATTAGACTCATTAAAGATTAGCCATGGTTCCTACCCTTAAGGAATTAAAAATCTTATTAGATGCTACTGTGATTTTATTAATGCCTTGTTTAAAGAAAATTAAGCACATAGGATGCCTTGTACAAAATGTCCTTACTAAATAGATTTTATATTAGGCTCATCTGGAGAGGGGAAGATGGGAAGAAGTTTTTCTCTGACTTGTACCATATTATTGCACCAGATGTGCAGGAAAGGCATGCCAGGATCCACCTCGATTTACTGATTTTTTTTTTTTTTTGTCCCTGCTGAAATGACTTGTCTACTCTTTAGCAGCAATGCAAGAATTTTTTTTTTTTTGGTTTATTTTCAAAGTGTGATGTATAGTCACCACTCCAGTAATTGGCAGAACACAATTGTATTATTGATAAAGACAAAAAAAGAACTCATTATGCACTTTCCCCTCTTCTCGCTCTTTATGGATTGCCCACTTAATTTAACCAAGAGTAAGGAAACTAGACAGTGCCCTGGACTGAAAAGGGATCGCACATAAAACCGTATCCACAGTGCCATTTTATTTCAAAGTAGGGGACTCCTGTGGTGTACTAGCAGATTGCCTGCTGTGAAAATCACTTGGATATAATAGAAAGACATAGTATTCAATGACTTCCCTATTATATTCAATGAGATTTTCAGTGAAGGAAAATGGTGAATACTCACCAATATTCCTGCATCTTAAAGTAGCAGAACAGTTTTGCAGTTTCTCTTACTTTTGCAATTGGAGCCCCTGAGCAGAGCAGACACAGACATTCCACATTTGAATAGGATGTTGATGCAGAATTGTGGAGTTGCCCCTTTTTTGTTTATTTTTTAACTGCTTTGTATGGATACTCCATAAGAAAACTATCTAAAAAGAGCTGTGAGCAACAAGTAAACCTGGTAAACACATGTGGCTTACATCAATTCTTTACATGGGAAGAAAAGTATTTTTCTCAAGAACAGACTTTAGTACATTGCAATGCCAGAGAGAGGCTGACATGCCTCAGCAGTGCCTTTGCTGGATACACTGATCATCTTCCTCCACCTTCAGTGTTAATTTCGTTTTTTTGGTTTTATTTTTGTTTTGAGAGAGAGATTTTTGCTATAGGGCACATTTGCATGCTGGAGAGACAGAGACAGAAAGCAAGAAGTCACCCCCCGGGGGATGGCCATGCCACAATCCCTTCTCCTCTCGGGATTTTGGGCACCCACACACATGTGCCTGGCATGCATTTTAAGCCACTGGTTCTGGGACTCAAACCATGGTCAACTATGTGGGAGTTGTAACCAGCGACATAACCATTACTCCATCTGCTAGTCCTCACTTCTTCACTGCCACATTTTCATTTTCAAAGTTTGGAGACCAGCTGGTCTAAGCTGGAATGATGAGGGGCAGAACTTAGGATCATGGAATACATTTACCTTATCGAGAGACTCATTTTTTTATCAATGACGATGAGAACACCCAAGCTAGAAGGAGATGCCTAAGCTAAATCCTCACTTTTTAATTTTTTTGCTGTCAGGTTTTAAGAATTATGTATAGTTATTTCACTAGACTACATTGGTGGAGGTGAAACTGTTAACTACAATTTCTCTATTGCTATGATTGATACCAGATTTCTATTCCCTGTCTATTATCTTTCTCTAATTGTCTGCTCATGCCTTGCTCAGGAAGGAATCTGTGATTTTCTTGTGCTTTGTAGACTCACACATTGATGCTCACTATATGCCATGTCTTGTGAAGCTATAAACAGTTGCTGGTATTTTCTCCTCAGTGTCACTAAAGGTAGAGTACTCCTGGGTTCATAGTAAACACAAATTACCCACACTGCTGTCTCCATGGTAAACAAACAGAGATGTGGAAGAGGTCCCTTGAGAAAATGGTGCCAGAGGGAGCTGGGCATTATACTTAAAGGTGGCCTTCCTTTGTAGACAGAAGGTTGCGGCATCAGTGAAAACAGCGGCTCCAGGCTCTGGGCAGAAAGACTGGGTAGATGCTGAGACAAAAATTGGTATGTTGATCCAAACCAGATTTTCCAGGTAGAAGCAGGGCTGGGGTGGGAATGGGACCAGGTGACATTACAAACCTAAGAACAAGAAGAACCCAAAGGCAAAGCAAAATTGAAAACAGAAAAGAGAGAGACTGAGAAGAATAAAAGGAGCTGAAAAAAAAAATCACCATTCTGTTTTTCTCCATCTGGCATTTTGGAAGGTTCACTGGTAGTTTGCTGAGTAGAACTGAAATAATGCAAGGCGCAGATCGTGTTTACACAGGCCTTCCCCTCAAATAGTTCATATTTTAGAAGGATCAAGAGCCTCATGTTTTTATACAGTGGACTGTATTTATATAGTTTGGCCGACAGGAGAAAAGAGTGCTTATCATTAGTAGTGTGTTTCCTTCAGAATTTGTTTTTCTTTTGAAAGAAGGCCTAAGAGTAGCACCAGTTGAATACCCTTAGTCAGTGGCATCACAAGCAATTGAAGGGGGGTCCCTTCACAGCTCAGGTGTCTGTGATGTGACTAGTCAGCCAAACAGCAGCACTCTTTAGGCTGTGTAAATCACGCATGATTAAATGCTGTTGTGAAAGTCCTGGGTGACTTGGAGCAGCACCCCCCTTGTTGGATCAAGAGCCTCATGTTTTTATACAGTGGACTGTATTTATATAGTTTGGCCGACAGGAGAAAAGAGTGCTTATCATTAGTAGTGTGTTTCCTTCAGAATTTGTTTTTCTTTTGAAAGAAGGCCTAAGAGTAGCACCAGTTGAATACCCTTAGTCAGTGGCATCACAAGCAATTGAAGGGGGTCCCTTCACAGCTCAGGTGTCTGTGATGTGACTAGTCAGCCAAACAGCAGCACTCTTTAGGCTGTGTAAATCACGCATGATTAAATGCTGTTGTGAAAGTCCTGGGTGACTTGGAGCAGCACCCCCCTTGTTCTTGGCTCCTAGCTCATTGCAGAGCGTGTCCGTGGATTACTTGCCACCTGCGCACCTGCTTTGCTCCTTTCTACTTTTGCAGACTTAGGCAAATGAGTTTAGCCAGCCTGTGCTAACGTGGTGAGGGGTGAAGCGATATGACCATAAGTGTGTGTTCTTGCTACCCCAACCCTCGTGAGAAGCTGGGAACGTGTGGAAACTAGGACTGTGACATAGACTTGCTCCCAAGTAAGGTGGGTATGTGAGTGGGAGTCCAGGTTAAAGGGACCTGGCTAACTGCTGGCATTCCATCTCAATCCTGACTCCATTTTTTGGCTTAAGCACAAGTAAAAACTGTTTTCTAACCTGTTTTATTAACTTAACATTTTATCATGAACATTTTCCTATGCTTTTTTTTTCTCTAATATTATCTTCAACATTGTGTGTTTTCTTATATTCATCACATTATAATTTTTTTTTTGAGAGGTTTTTGCTATAGAGCACATGCGCTCTCCAGGAAGACAGAGTGAGACAGAGAGACAGAAAGTGAGAAATCACCCTGCAGGGGGGATGGGGGGATGGCCACGCCACAATCCCTTCTCTTCCATTCTCTCTTGAGATCTTGGGCATGCACGCACACACACCCTGTGTGATTTTAAGCCACCGGGTACAGGACTTTAACCACAGTCAACTACGTGGGAGTTCAGCGACATAGCCATTACACTAACTGCTGGTCCCCATCACATTATAATTCTCAAGGCAGTTAGTTTAAGAAGGAATCTACTAAAGAAGATGGTGACCAGATTCCCTGGAACTGTGTGAACATGGCCATCATTTGGAGACATGGACTCTGAAAGCAGAATAGGTGTATGATGACAGGTATCAGATTCTGAGGAAGGGCTCAGCCAGAATGAGATTGGAAACTGAGCAACAAAGACCTAGATGACCTTGTAGAACTCAGACTTGGAAATAGAGATCGAAGAAATAAGCAGTTTGGTTAGATATGATGATGGGGTGCTATGTGCATGGTGATAGAGCAGATAAATGTTCTGAGGCATGGTTGCATGCAGACATAGGATATGCCAGGCTCCCTGCTGCTGTTCCAGCATTAGGTCTGGTTAAGGGCAAAGGAGATCTAAAGGGTCAGTCTAAGGGCTCCCCAGGCATGACAGATCTAGCAGACCCCCAAGTTGATTCAAAGCCCCAAGGATCTGAAAAACTGGGATTGAGGGAACAGTAAGGGAAGACAAAGGAGAAGCAGTGATCAAGGAAGTTTTTAGAAACCCAGACATTGTTGGCACTGACCCAGGAGCTCAGATGGACCTGACTGCCTGAGTACATATGTGTGAGGGATGGGGTATGGAAAATGGCCACAAGCTGGAAGATGCTGCAATGGGTAGAAACCAGGCTGTGGGCCATATGAAAACACATGGAAGGAAAGACAAGGAATTATGTATTTGATCTGAGGCTCACTAATACTAATACTAACACTTTCTTTTCTGGCCTTTCCAACATTTGAGGTTTATGTGTAACTATTGTCTTCTA